AAAGCTATCTTGTTACTTGTTCATTTATTTATCCACTGTGCAACCAAAAGAAAATTCTTGAAGATTTTGTCTTTGCAAACTTGGAGTATAAAGTATATTGTCAACTTTCTCCCACCTTGACCTAGGGTTTCATCACTGCACTATTATCGACATTTTAATTCAATTATGTCACTTTCATTTTTTGTAGCTATTATATAGCAGCGCTACATCACTTATTTATTTTTAATTTGCATCACTGTACTATTTCTACTCATTTGATACTCAAGTCTGGATAGAATATACCCGAGAGGTAAGCAATCCTCAATTAGTATATACAGTTCCAAGCACAGTCCCAACAGTGGACTTGTGTACTACAGCTCCATGTGCATGCTAAAAACAATCCAACTCAGAGAGGTCTTAGCCATCTGCAGATTTTTGCTTTTGAGAACAAGTGCTGTGACACTGTGTGTGAAGGTAAGTTAATTATTTTGGCTAACCTCTGCCTAGGCCCTATGTAGAGGCATGAAAGATCATGGTAGTTATGCTAGGTATGTAGAGGTATGAAAGATCAAGCAATACTTCTATGGATCCCAAAGTAATTAGGGCTAGGCAGAGATATTAAAACTCAAGCAGAAGTTCTATAGGCTCTCAAAAGAAGGGCTATTTAGAAATATTGAAGATCAAGGAGAAGTTCTATAAGCTCTTATGTGTAGAGATATAGTAATAGTTATATATCATATTTCAAATTGAGTAGGGCTGCATAGAAGTATTTAAAAGCTAGTAGAATTCAGGTGTTCCAATCTCCTCCATGGCCACAGGTGTATACAGTCAAGCACCTAGGCATGCAGACTGCTTCTACAAACATTTGTGAAAAAATGGGTCGCTCTCAGGAGCTCAGCTATTTCAGGCATGGTACCGTGATAGGTTGCCGCCTGCGCAATAAGTCCATCCATGACTTTTCCTTGCTACTACGGTCAACTGTTAGATGTATAATAACAAAGTGGAAGCAACTGGGAACAAAAGAAACTCAGCCACAAAGCGGTAGGCCACGTAAAATGACAGAATGGGGTCAGCGCATGGTGATGCGCACAGTGCGAAGAAGTCGCCAACTGTCTGCAGAGTAAACAGCTAAAGACCTCAAAACTTCATGTGGCCTTCACATTAGCACAACAGTGCAGCAAGCCTTATATCACCAAGTGCAATACAAAGCATTGGATGCAGTGGTGTAAATCATGCTGCCACTGGACTCTTCTCTGGCAATCTGATGGACGTTTCTGGGTTTGGCTGTTGTCAGGAGAACAGTACTTCTTGCCAAGTGCAAAGTTTGGTGGTGGGGGGATTATTGTGTGGGGTTGTTTTCGAGGGGTTGGGCCTGGCCCCTTAGTTCCAGTGAAGGGAACACTTAAGGCGTCAGCATACCAAAGACATTTTAGACAATTTCATGCTCCCAACTTTGTGGGAACAGTTTGGGGATGGCCCCTTCCTGTTCCATTATGACTGCGCACCAGTGCACAAAGCAGGGTCCCTAAAGACATGGATGAGTGAGTTTGGGGTGGAGGAACTTGACTGGAACTTCCGATTCTGGGTCACCTGATCACTGTGATAGCCTCTGAATGGCTATGACAGTGATCAGTCACTGTGAAGGCAGCCCCTGTGTTTTCTTTCTTTGAATGGAGGAGAGAGATACATTGTATCTTTCTCTGTTCTTTCAGGGACAAAAAAAAGTGTGTTAAAAAAATAAAATACATGTAAAAAAAATACCTAGATCAAAGTTTGATCTAGGTCAGTGCCAGGGTTAGTGTTTGGGTCAAGGTCAGGGTCAAAGGTCAATGTCAGGACCAGAGGTCAGGGTCAGTATTTTTTATTGGTCTGGATTTTTTTTTAGCTTTTAAATTAGTATCAGGGTCAGTGAGTGTTTTTTGAATTGTTCTTTGGTGGTAGGTTATGATAGTAGTAAGAAATATACAGATACATTTTTAAAAAAATATTTTGTTTACTATTTTGGGCCAGTTTTCCTTTGATAATAAAACAAAATCAGGAGATATCCATTACCATTCACCACCAAACAAAAACCCCATTTGTCCTAAAAAAAACCAAGGTATAATCCACCTGGATGCACAAAGTAGTTGTGATGATATGTACGGTTCAGGGGCGGACTGACCATTTGGAAACTCGGGCACTGCCCGAGGGCCCTGGGTCAGTAGGGGGCCCCATGAGATGCCCCTGGTACCTTTTTCATAGGCTTTTTTGAGTTTGGGCAAGGATACAGGGGCCCCATGATCCCCTATTGCCTGGGGGCCCCATGAGTTGTCAGTCCGCCCCTGGTACAGTTTTAAGGTTTTAATATAACATGTCAAAGTTGCAAAATTGTACTTAGGCATTTAGATTTGTTTTACCCTTAGGCACAAAGGGGTTAAACTCAAACACAGCCTCTCTCACATTTTTAACAGCAACAGTCTTACCATTCCCATTGGCAGAAGTTGCTGTCTTCCTTTGTGTGCATCGTCTCAGGATGTTAGGAATGGACTGGCCAGCAATGGTGGGACTCACCTGCCTTTTGATCTGCAGTACCAGGGCTGGCCAGCGGGTGCTCCCAGCAATCAGAGACTCAACCTTTCAGCCAGCTAACACCTGGAACTGATGATACTGGGGTATTTAAGGGATGGCCAGACTTGCAGACTCTGCCTTGGTGTTGTGTTTGTCCTGGGCCCTGTATCTGTCCTGCATCCTGTTTCTGTTCCTTTGCTGACCCTGATCTGAACTGCTGCTGACTTCTCCTGCTCTGATCCTGGCTTGTGACCCTGACCACCCCTCTGTCTGACCCTCTGTACCTCGCTGCTTGCTACCTGCTGAACCTGGCCTGTGACCCCGACCATTCTCTGCTTGCTCCCCCCGTACCTACCTGCCCAATTGATATTGACCCGGCCTGCCTGACGACGCTTGCTTGTATGTACTGTTATCTGTGGGTGGTTGGTTTGGTTTGTTTGCACTGTATTATGTTTAGTATTGCCCTGCGTTTATGTTTGTATGGTTAGTGTTAATAAATTATATTGTTTATCACATTTCTGAAGTCTGCGTTTCCCTGCATCAGTCACACATCTCTGGTCATACCTGGGAGCCCTGACATTACACCAAGGCCAATCCTGACCAGAAGTGGCTGCACAGGGAAGCCATCTTGGCTTGTTGATGGGAAGGATGGATCTTGATGAGGTTGAGTATTTATATCTGCTAGTGTTTGATGACAGGGAGTATGCTTATCAAACTCTGAAGGAGTATACCCGGGATGAATTGCTAGAATGTATACGGCTCGCTCATGTTCTAGTAGATCAGGGCACAGTGTTCTCTGAGGTGCAGCCATTGATTGAGGTTTGTGCAGAGTTGGTTTCATCTGGTTCCCCCGAATGCAGGGATGAATTTTTGCCACCATTTAGTGCAGACCAGGTAGAGTCCCTGGTGTGGTTATTAGAGGATGATGTGGGTTACCTTTTGGAGCGTTATTCCACATGTTCACCACAGACACTAAGAGATTGTATCAACGCAGTGCAGTCATTGACCAGACAGACTTTGTGTAAGCTCAGCTTTGTTCAACCCCTACTGCAGACATGGACAGATTTGTTGCACCCAGCCTCAGTCAGCTTACAAAGACCCAGTCCTGCTTCTAACTCTACTCCTGTATTCCCACCAGCTCCTCCTGCCCTGCTATCTACCGCATGTCAGTACCCTGTTCCCACTCGCTGCACCTATCCTGCCTTTAACCCTGTAAAAGAGCCCTCTGTAGCAACTGCTCCCTCTCCTGTTCCATCCTCCAGTTTTTCTCTGTCTCCAGCTGCTCCATTCGTTTGCAGACCTGCGTTTACTTGCAGTGCTCCAGTAGTTAAAACCAGAAAAAAGCGAAAATTCTTTCCAACCAATACCATCCTGCCAGTATCCAAACCGGTGAGCCTGCCTTTCCGTGAAGCCTCAGCCTGAAGCTCGGCCTACTCGGCCTGAAGCCTCTACTCGGCCTGAAGCCTCTACTCGGCCTGAAGCCTCTGCCTGAAGCCTCTACTCAGCCTGAAGCCTCTCTCTCAGCCTGATGCCTCTGCCTTCAGCCTGATGCCTCTCTTCAGCCGGATGCCTCTCTTCAGCCTGATGCCTCTCTCTCAGCCTGAAGCCTCTCCTCAGCCTGATGCCTGCATTCAGCCTGATGCCGCTACTCAGCATGATGAACTGATCCAGCCCGACGATCCTATTAGGCCAGTTGACTCGATGCCCGCTGTTGATCCAGATGATCCGGTACCTGATCCAGTGCCCGCTGTCGTGCCAATTGACTCAGAGCCCGCTGTCATACCTGGTGACCCGGTGCCCACTGCCTTGCCAGATGACGCGGTGCCCGCTGGCAAGCCAAATGACCTGATGCCTGGTGACCCAGTGCCCGCTGTCATACCTGGTGACCCGATGCCCGCTGTCGAGCCAGACGATCCAATGCCTGGTGACCCGGTGCCCACTGCCTTGCCAGATGACGCGGTGCCCGCTGACAAGCCAAATGACCTGATGCCTGGTGACCCAGTGCCCGCTGTCATACCTGGTGACCCGATGCCCGCTGTCGAGCCAGACAATCCGGTACCTGATGCCCCGGTGCTCACTGTCGTGCCTGTTGACTCGGAGCCCACTGCCTTGCCAGATGACGCGGTGCCCGCTGTCGAGCCAAATGACCTGATGCCTGGTGACCCAGTGCCCGCTGTCCAGTCAGACGATCCAATGTCTGACCCAGTGCCCGCGGTCATACCAGTTGACTCGGAGCCCACTGCCTTGCCGGATGACGCGGTGCCCGCTGTCGAGCCAAATGACCTGATGCCTGGTGACCCAGTGCCCGCTGTCCAGTCAGACGATCCAATGTCTGACCCAGTGCCCGCGGTCATACCAGTTGACTTGGAGCCCACTGCCTTGCCAGATGACGCGGTGCCCGCTGTCGAGCCAAATGACCTGATGCCTGGTGACCCGATGCCCACTGTCCAGCCAGACCATACAATGTCTGACCCAGTGCCTGCGGTCATACCAGTTGACTCGGAGCCCACTGCCTTGCCAGATGACGCGGTGCCCGCGGTCGAGCCAAATGACCTGATGCCTGGTGACCCGATGCCCGCTGTCCGGTCAGACGATCCAATGTCTGACCCAGTGCCCGCGGTCATACCAGTTGACTCGGAGCCCACTGCCTTGCCAGATGACGCGGTGCCCGCTGTCGAGCCAAATGACCTGATGCCTGGTGACCCGATGCCCGCTGTCCAGCCAGACCATACAATGTCTGACCCAGTGCCTGCGGTCATACCAGTTGACTCGGAGCCCACTGTCGTGCCTGGTGACTCGGTGCCCGCCGCTCCGCCTGGGGGCCCGAGACCTGTTGCTCCGCTTGGGGGTCCAGCGCCCGCCGCTCCGCCTGGGGAGACCGGCGCCCGCCTGGGGGTCCGGCGCCCGCCTCCGCCTGGGGCCCGAGACCTGTCGCTCCGCCTGAGGGCCCGAGACCTGTCGCTCCACCTGGGGGTCCGGCGCCCGCCGCTCCGCCTGAGGGCCCGAGACCTGTCGCTCCATCCTGGGGGTCCGCGCGCCCGCCGCTCCGCCTGAGGGCCCGAGACCTGTCGCTCCACCTGGGGGTCCGGCGCCCGCCGCTCCGCCTGAGGGCCCGAGACCTGTCGCTCCACCTGGGGGTCCGGCGCGCCCGCTCCGCCTGAGGGCCCGAGACCTGTCGCTCCACCTGGGGGTCCGGCGCCCGCCGCTCCGCCTGAGGGCCCGAGACCTGTCGCTCCACCTGGGGGTCCGGCGCCCGCCGCTCCGCCTGAGGGCCCGAGACCTGTCGCTCCTCCTGGGGGGTCCGCTCCGCCTGGGCCCGCCTGTCTCCGCCGCCTGGGGGTCCGGCGCCCGCCGCTCCGCCTGGGGGCCCGAGACCTGTCGCTCCGCCTGGGGGCCCGGCGCCCGCCCCGCTCCGCCTGGGGGCCCGAGCCTGGCTCCGCCGCCGATGCCTGTCGCTCCGCCTGGGGGCCCGGCCTGTCGCCCCGCCGGGGGCCGATGCCTGCCGCCCCGCCTGGGGGCCCGTGCCTGCGCCGCCTGGGGGCTGCCGCCGCTGGGGGCACGCCTGTGCCTGTCGCCCCCGCCCGTGGGGCCCGGTGCCTGCCTCGCCCCGCCCGGGGGCCCGGTGCCTGCTGCGCCCGGGGGCCCGGTGCCTGTGGCCCGGGGGCCCGGTGCCTGCCCTGCCTTCGCCTGGTAATCCGATGTGCCTCTGCCCGGAGTGCCTGCCCCCGATGTGCCTCTGCCCGATGTCCTGCCCGATGTGCCTCTGCCCGATGTGCCCTGCCCTGCCCGATGTGCCTCTGCCCGATGTGCCTCTGTGCCTCTGCCCGGAGTGCCCTGCCCGGTGCCTCTGCCCGATGTGCCTCTGCCCGGTGTGCCTCTGCCCGGATGTGCCTCTGCCTCTGCTCGATGTGCCGCTGCCCGGAGTCCAGCCCGGTGTGCCGCTGCCCGGAGTCCTGCCCGGTGTGCCAGTCTTTGCTATCCCGCCAGTTGCCAGACCCGGGCGGTGGAACATTTTGCCCAGCTAGGACTGTTTGGAGCGTCCTGAGGCCGCTCCTTGAGGGGGGGGTACTGTTAGGAATGGACTGGCCAGCAATGGTGGGACTCACCTGCCTTTTGATCTGCAGTACCAGGGCTGGCCAGGGTGCTCCCAGCAATCAGAGACTCAACCTTTCAGCCAGCTAACACCTGGAACTGATGATACTGGGGTATTTAAGGGATGGCCAGACTTGCAGACTCTGCCTTGGTGTTGTGTTTGTCCTGGGCCCTGTATCTGTCCTGCATCCTGTTTCTGTTCCTTTGCTGACCCTGATCTGAACTGCTGCTGACTTCTCCTGCTCTGATCCTGGCTTGTGACCCTGACCACCCCTCTGTCTGACCCTCTGTACCTCGCTGCTTGCTACCTGCTGAACCTGGCCTGTGACCCCGACCATTCTCTGCTTGCTCCCCCCGTACCTACCTGCCCAATTGATATTGACCCGGCCTGCCTGACGACGCTTGCTTGTATGTACTGTTATCTGTGGGTGGTTGGTTTGGTTTGTTTGCACTGTATTATGTTTAGTATTGCCCTGCGTTTATGTTTGTATGGTTAGTGTTAATAAATTATATTGTTTATCACATTTCTGAAGTCTGCGTTTCCCTGCATCAGTCACACATCTCTGGTCATACCTGGGTTGCCCGCATCCTCCACCAATTGTGATGATTAGGGGTGATTTAGCTCACTTGGTAGTGCCCAAACAGTGAGTTTACTCCACGCCAGAGGTATTTTTTTAGGGCTTTTTCTGCCCACTTTTATTTAAAGTGTTACTAAACCCATAACAGTAAAATCAGTCTGTATATACAGTAAAGCATGCTTGTTATACTCACTGTGGAACCTAAGGGGTTAATCCTGTACATTGTGTAAAAAGGATGTTTGATCCTGTCTTCTATGATCCTCCCCTTCTTCCAGTGTCTCCCAAATATCTCCTGATAGTACAGTGGCTAGAGACAAGCTGCACATGCTCAGTTTGGTATGTATTGCTAGAGAGTTTTTTTTTATTTCTTGGGAGAGTGCATGTGATCAGCACAGTGCCAATCAGCACTCTCCAGACAGAGGTCCTACATCCTGTTACAGGAGAATGAAAACTCTTCCTACAAGCTTTAACATGTGCTATGCTGGGCACTGATAGACATCACAAGACTGCTCTAACTGCTGATGAGAAAAGGTATTTAGCAGCTTTTATTTACTAAAAAAAATTCGTTTCCATGTTGTGTGCACTGTGGGAGACCAGATAGACTGAATGCAGGGTCCTGGGTTTAGTAACACTTTAAAACAAATGAAAGTTCACAAAAAAGGTTTCCCACGCAGGGGGTTATCACAATCAATAAGATGCAGAAAATAGTATTCAGCCTCCTGGCTTTTTATGCAGCTTTGTAGCACAGCTTAGCAGTCTTGGTCTTCCTGACCATCAAACACCTCCAGTGCTCGTGCACAAGTACAGCTGTACTTCAATATTCAGTTCTGTATCCTTTCAACAGCATCCCAGCTGCTCTGTCTCCCATGGACTGCCTTCCTTACAGGTTCGTGCCTCTCTCTGTCCTGACCTGGACAGGTCGGTGCATACCAGCAACTTCTGTCTCCCACCCTAGGAGGTGTCTCCAAAATAGGAGCCCTGAGCTATCCTCCCACCTGACTATATAAGCAACTTGTACAACTGTGCACTCATTGTACCTGCTGTCTAGAAAACATGGTCCAGACTGCCATTTTACACAGTGGCATGGCCTCGCCCCCCACTATATATATATATATATATATATATATATATATATATATATATATATATATATACATACTGCTCAAAAACATTAAAGGAACACCTTGAAAACACGGCAGATCTCAATGGGGAAAATATCATGCTGGATATCTATACTGATATGGACGGGGTACTGTGTTAGGAACGTAAGGATGTCCCATTGTTTGATGAAAATTAAAATTATCAACCTACAGAGGACTGAATTTAAAGACACCCAAAAAATCAAAGTGAAAAAAATGATGCAGCAGGCTAGTCCATTTTGCTGAAATGTCATTGCAGCAACTTAAAATGGTAATCAGTAGTTTGTATGGCCCCCACGTGCTTGTATGCATGCCTGACAAAGTCAGGGCATGCTCCTAATTAGACCACAAAGAGTGTCCTGGGGTATTTACTCCCAGATCTGGACCAGGGCATCACTGAGCTCCTGGACAGTCTGAGGTGCAACCTGGCATCGTCGGATGGACCGAAACATGATATCCCAGAGGTGTTCTATTGGATTTAGGTCAGGCAAGCATGGAGGCCATTCAATGATATCAATTCCTTCATCCTCCTTGAACTGCCTGCACACTCTCGGCATATGAGGCTGGGCATTGTCGAGCACCAGGAGGAACCCAGGACCCACTGTACCAGCGTAGGGTCTGACAATGGGTCCAAGGATTTCATCTCAATTCCTAATGGAAGTCAGGGTGCCATTGTCTAGCCTGTAGAGGTCTGTGTGTCTCTCTATGGATATGCCTCCCCAGACCATCACTGACCCACCACCAAAATGGTCATGCTGAACGATGTTACAGGCGCATAACGTACTCCATGGCTTCTCCAGACCATTTCACATCTGTCACATGTGCTCAGGGTAAACCTGCTCTCATCTGTGAAAAGCACAGGGCGTCAGTGGTGGACCTGCTAATTCTGGTGTTCAATGGCAAATGCCCATTGAGCTCTATAGTCCCAGGCAGTGAGCACAGGGCCCACTGGAGGACATTGGGCCCTCAGGCTACCCTACTGAAGTCTGTTTCTGATTGTTGAGTCAGAGACATTCACACCAGTGGCCTTCTGGAGGTCATTTTGTAGGGTTCTAGCAGTGCTCATCCTGTTCCTCCTTGCACAAAAGAGCAAAGACTGGTCCTGCTGATGAGTTAAGGACCTTCTACAGCCCTGTCCAGCTCTCCTAGAATAACTGCCTGTCTCCTGGAATCTCCTCCATGCTCTTGAGAATGTGCTGGGAGACTCCTGGAGGAGTTGGACTGCCTGTGCAACCTCTGTAGGATCCAAGTATTGCCTCATGCTACCAGTATTGACCCTAGCCAAATGCAAAACTAGTGAAAAACAGTCAGAAAGGATGAGTAGGAAAAACAATATCAGTGGCCTCCACCTGTAAAACCATTCCTGTTTTTTGGGGTCGTCTCATTGTTGCCCATCTAGAGCACTTGTTAATTTCATTAACACCAAAGCAGCTGAAACTTATTAACAACCCCCTCTGCTACTTAACTGACCAGATCAATATCCCAGGAGTTTAATTGACTTGATGCTATACTCTGATTAAACAGTGTTCCTTAAATTTTTTTGAGCAGTATATATATATATATATATATATATATTATAAATACCTATTTTTTTAAAAATGATTTGTTGTCATCAGCAGTACACTTATGTTCCTATTGAATGGCTGTGCAGGGGGACAAGTCAGCACAAGTCTGACAATTGGAGGACAGGCAGGTTGTTCTCCCAGCACAGCCAGAAAACTGACCATGCTCAGATGGACGTGCTCTCATGAAAAAGAGAGGAAGTGCAGTATAGACAATTTATTAGTGAATAATAGATGAATTGCAATTACAAGATAAATAGTTAAAAAGACTCATCGTGTTGTGTGTTTAAAATCCAGGTGAGGACCGCCCCCTTCACCTCCTACATTCGATGCTGCTCTCCAAGCCTCATTTTGGTACACAGACATATCCTAGTTCACACTTCCTGATCCCACGGACTGAGCTGCCGCTGGATGGCTGGATGCCTCACCTGGATCTTAAAACACCACACATTGAGTGTTTTTAACTGTTTATCTTGTAAGTGCAATTCATCTATTGTTCACTAATAAATTGTCTATACTGCACTTAGAGGCGCCTTCCGCACTTTTTCATGTTTACTGCATTAGAGCCTTGCTTCCACTCTAAGAAGAACTGCCTCTGGGTTATTGCTCCCATCCATCCAACCATCCATCACTGATATC